TTTTTTTTTAATCCACACATTAGAACCAATGTATATAGTTAAATTTCTTAAATGTGTTGATTTCGTAACTTAATAAAACTATTGCCATGAAGTTTTAAAAAATAAAGCTCACGTCTGTTAATTTTACACAGCCTAAAGGTAGGTTAGAGTATATTGTAAATCGTTTTCCCCAACTGGTTATGAGTGGTAGCTGGGAAACTGATTGCGAATGTCCCACTAATCCAGGCCTACAGACCGCTCAGTGATTCCCTGTTAAACATCCTTCATTGTATCCTCCATCCAATGTCCACATAATGTCACATGAGGCAGCTTAATAGAAGTCCATGGGAAAATATCCCTCAGCTCTAAAATCTTTAAACAGTTTCCAGATGACTTTATGGGTTCAGTCGCCGATATTTCATATCTTGTTTCAAGACCCCAAGATGCCAACAGGACTTGATGGAGGGATGTCATTTCTACTGTCTTTGGTGTCTAGACTTGCCTCTAGACGGACTGTTTCACAATTGGATCCAGTTTAAGAAACAAAGCCCTTTTTTTACCCTTTAAATCATAGGTGTCATTACATTTGGCCCGCAAAGCCATACCAAATTACTATTAGAGCTGGCCTACTGGTATTATACAGCTAATATATATATTGTTTAGTATTAAGCTTTGCTTGTTCCATATTCAGTTTTTCAGCAAAACTTGTTTGAGTCCATAAGAAAGATTCATTCTTATATCTGGAGGAATACATATATTTCAATAAATATTAACGTTAGCCTGCAACTTTGTTCCAGTTTTGAATTTTGGCCCACTGTGTATTTGAGTTTGACACCCCTGCTTTAAATGAAAGGGAAGCACTCCTTTTTTTTTTTCTTGTCTAAAAGCCACTGACTCACGAGCACTTCATTCTCAGATCTATGAAATGCATCTTTTGTGTTGATACTTTTCCAGGAAATGTCAGTCAGGTGTTACGGGAGCAGTGTCTGATGCTTTTAAGTGCTTCACATGGTTTAAATCAGAGCTGTAATGGTATCTGCATTAATACATTTCCTTTCTTGAGGCAGTAATTTGCTTCACCTCTGGATTTTTGGAGGAGGTAATGAGTGCTCCTGTAAGACTCTTTGTAATTTAACTCCTACTAGTTTCCACTGATGTCTGTGAGGGGGGAAAAAAACCTCCCCACATGTCACCGGCTTTGCTCACCGCGGGGTTTTGTTAATACATTACTCTGACTGTAAGACCCCCTTCCACACCTCTCCAGTGCTAATCTCTTCCTCCGTGCCTTTCCCCCCTCACCATGAGCCATGTTCCACTTTTGGTTCCATGCCATGCTTTTTGAATTTTTGATGGTGCGTTGGCGGGTGGAGCAGGGCACGCGGCAGCACAGCAAAGGGGGAAGAGAACTGCTGCGTTTCCTCTGTGATGTCTGCTGTGAGACTGCAGAAGTGTCACCTGAGGAAAGGCAGACAGCTCAGTGTGAGAGCACACTCAAGTCTTTGGTCTTGCTCGCCAGGACCAGACATTATTTTTGATTTTTTATTCTGCCTACTCCGCGCGCTCTCTTTTGAAGTGATTTCCGATTTGCATATCGTTACTGCATATTTCTTTTATTTCCTTCACCTCCTGGAGATACAGTATATACATATAAACATGAGAGCCAAGCAAATGACCAGTAGATGGAGTCAAAAGCCAGTCGTCCTACAAACTGAACACCTTAATGACACCTCCCTTTAGTGTACTGCTGTGTTCCTGAATTATAAAATAGAAACGGAATAGAAGACATTAAAAAGTCATGAAGTGGCCAGAGATGTCAAGCAGCTTAAATTGGATCCGTCTGGCTCAGACGCTCTTTGCTGGAGTTACCAGGTCCAGGAAGACTAACAAAGACCATTAGGTCGCCTACATGTGATGACAACAATCTCCATTTGACAGATTAGTGTGCAAAACAATTGTATAACTTTGTACAACAACTAATTGTAGAATTAATTTCAAAATCACTGCCAACTCTAAGTGCAAACTTGGCGGCGGTGCAGACCAGTCGCTCCGGTTTTCACCAAACTGAGCTGGACAAAAGCACCAGGGTTCCTTTTAACCTCACAAACTGGGTGAGAAACTACATGAAAGTCGTTAATTAGCATGTTTTTTTTATATCTTCTGTGTTTGATCACAGCAAGAACAAAAATGTAACTGCAAAAATTGCAAGTCATTGCCACATAGTAACTCTGGGCATCTCCGCATGAGAGCCACGCTCGAGTCTTTGTTGAGGTGCCAGAGTATGTCTTGAGTTTTGGGACAACAGGAGAGAATTCACCTAGACTAAAAGATGAAATGAGTTTTTAGCCTTGCTGTTGTTGTGCATCTCTTTAAGGTTATTAAGTCTCTTTGTTTCATTTTGTGTTACTTTGCACTGTTTTTCCATCTGTGCTCATTTTGTCTCTTTGAACCCATTTGTATTCATTTTGCAGCCTCATAATCGTTTGTAGTTACTTACCAAAAGATCTGGTGACTGTGCAGCACATTTGAGTACACTGCCGTGAACATTGCCATGTTCATGAGACAGTTTCAGTTTTATGACATGGTTCGTTATCCTGCTGGAAGCAGCTGTCAGAAGATGTACACCGTGGTCAGCAACAGTACTCAGGTAGGCTGTGATGCCCAGAGTGTGCCAGGATAATATCCCCCACCCCATTACAACACTAGCAGCAGCCTGACCCATTAATAAAAAGCAGTACAGATCCATGCATTCCTGTTATTTATTCCTTAAAAAGAAACCTAATTTAAAGTTCAGCTTGGATACAAGCTTTTCAACGTGCATTTTAAATTACATTTTGAATAGTAATACTTAGTATATTGTGACCATTTCGATTTCAGCCTCGAGTAGTTTTGACCTTGGGAAGATGAGATGGTAGAAAAATAAGCTGAAGCAAAAGCGGCATACAGAATACAAGTGAGAGCATAGCACTATAAAACAAGTATATCACCTTGAGCTAGTTCAAACAGCAGCAGCTTGACTTCTTGTTTATCAGATGTCATCACATCACCTCCGACATGACTGCTCTTTATTGGATCCTGCAAGGAAGACTTTACTGGTCATTTTTGGGGACATCAGGGCCCCTGGACTTTAGAAGGGACCATAGATACATTTATAGACAGCAACTGGATAGCGTAGTGGTAAGGCTACACATCTTTGTAGTGGGAGTCACAAGTTCGATTCCTGCCTGGGGGCTTTCAAAATTTTGACATCAGGACAGCAGCAGCTTGACTTCTTGTTTATCAGAAGTCAAGCTGATAAAGACCTGGACTTTAGGAGGGACCATAGATACATTCATAGACAGCAGCTGGATAGCGTAGTGGTAAGACTACACATCTTTGTAGTGGGAGTCACAAGTTCGATTCCTGCCTGGGGTGTCTGTATCCAGTAGGGTCCTAGACCTAGAAAGTGCTACATATGCTACGGCAAGGAGGAGTCAGGACGCCAGAACAGTGGGGGTGATATCATAACCCCTCCCCCCACTCAGAAGAACAAAGCGAGTCTTTATCTTGGAGGAAGTCTAAGAAGCTGAAGATGGAACTGGAACCTACAAACCATCCTCCTGTTGTATCCCCCCCGTGGCTGTGCTCTAGCACCACTTCTCAGGCTCAGGTCACCCTATGGATCAAGGCAGGCTCAGGCAGTAACAATCAACTTTGGTGGAAGATGCACAAGGTAGATGTTGCATGTATTAAGGCATGGAAACATGTAGTTGGTATTGGTTTGGTATGTTCTTGTGTTGTATCCTGCTGTGAACGTCCTGGATGATCTTTATGAGCACTATAGGTGTTCAGCTGGTCTGAATAGTTTAATATAAATAACTTGCTTTAATCAAGATTTTACTAATTATTTTACTCACTAAGATTGCTCATTAAGTTTGTGGCCAAGCAGGACAATGAGCAAAGACCATGTTGCAAAGCTTTATTTGATCTTCTTTGAGCAGGTACCAAAATCTGTTAGCATTCACTGCACAAAATACTTCAACAAGCAACAGAGACTGCGATGAAGAAAGAAGCAAGTGAATACAGTGAAGATGAACCACTGCAGCATTGCACTGTCTCTTTTCTTAGATGTGTTGACACGAAACGCTCCCCAGGTCCAAGGAGTCGGCTGCAGGTTTTTAAAAGAGATGTAAGTGTTACCACCGTATGGATTTGGGAGGTGAAGGAGGGTTAGGCTGGGCACACATTAAGTTCTCTGCACACCTACCCTACAGATAAAACAGTGACTACAGCAGATTCAAGTCTAAGCAGACAGGGAAGGCTTTCTAATTTGAAACCCACAATGCAGTAACTGTAAAAGAAAAATAGAATAAGAAGAAAAGGATAAAAGCATGCTTTATAAACATTGATGAGATTATTCAAAATGGCAATATAAACATTAGTGACAATAATTATCAGGATCAGTTGTAAATATTACCAGTTTCAGTGTCACAACTTTTCCACAACTACACAAATAGTCCCTGAGAGCAGTGTGGGGTTGATCTTTGAAAAATACTCACAAGTTTCCCAGTAAAACTGGAAACGTACTTTTGCCTTACATTGTGCTCGCTTCTTCTGTTGGTATGTTGTATTTGTTGTAACCTTTGCTTCCATGACGGCCAGGTCTCTCTTGGAAAATTAAATCTCGATGAGACTTTTACCTGGATCCATCAGCCCAAGCTGCGAAACACTGCAATTATAAGAACACACCCATAAGTGATGACATCCAGGAAGTGGTTTTTTGTTGCTCTTTTTTTTTTTTAATTACTGTAATTTTCATGTGCTAAGAATTTAATTTAACTGATTTAAGATCTCACTGCTTCTTACTTAAAGTTTTTTGTCTTTTTTGTGTACAAATACATTCATATAAAAGGTTCAAACACACAGATCTGTTCATGCACACTACTGACTATCACAGCATGACCAATAGTGAGCCTTTAAAATACACTAATTACAGAGTGTACACAGTCTCAGTGGGTACAGTGAGTCACAGGCTCCCAGGTGGTGTGTGTTTTGGTTGAAAAGCTGCTGCTGTGGCACACTTCTGGATCATCTCAACACTTAAACATTTTTTTTAATCAGTGTGTGATCAAACATGGAACTTTTCCATCTTTTAACTAGCCAGTACTCAGACATTTTTTTGTAGTGTATGTCCCAAATTACAGATCCTGATTCTCGTTGATGGTGAGAGAGACCAGTGAAATGTTCAGGCTTTTATCTTTAATAGTTTCTCAAATATTCATGTTCGAGCATTGCCTCAGATTTCAATGTGTGAAAAACAGGAAGTGTGTCAATAAACAACTTTTCAAAATAATCTATCTTGAAAACTATTTGATATATGAAGCCAAAATTTCACAGCAAACATAAATGTTCAAATTTATTTATGCAAATCGATGGTCAAGCAGAAGGCTTGGTTGATTTGAAATGGAATGACCCCCTCTGTCCAATCGAGGCCATGCCCCTGCCCAGAAGCAAAACTTTGTCACCATGTTCTCTGACGGTGGTTATCAAACCCGTGCATGGAAGAATACACATTTAAAGACGAAAAACACAGAAACAATGCATCAAAGTGCATTCTTCCAAGATTTATGCATTCACATGGGATGAATCCCTGTAAAACTCCACATCAAAGACGGCTCCTAGATTGCTGACCGTGTAGCTGGTCAAATTAGGAAAAGCACGAAGTAAGCAGCTCTGCAGTGCAGAGCAGTTAACTAAACTGTGTGGCCCAAACACAACATGCTTAGTGCTGCTGGTGTGGGGGAAAAAAACAGCTGGGATTATTCTCCCTGTTCTGTTCTTATGTCACAACATCTGCTTGCTGTGGGGTTTTTTTGTTTGTTCACACAACATTTTCTGAATAAAATAGCTCACCTGTCTCTCCTCCACTCTTCAGTAGTTCCTCCCCATGCACAGTGGAGTTTTTCACTCTCAAACAGCCATTGAAATTACAAGTTGAGGGGAAGATAAACAAGCGTCTCCATAAACGCAGTTGCATGAAGCTATCATTTATTCAGACCAACAGAAACACTATTCTTCTGGTTTCTTTCATTTTGAGAAGAGAGAAAAATATGAAGAGTAAAATATTGAAATAACATTTGAACCAAATAAGTCACTTCCTGCCACTGGAAATGCCTCCAGTCACAACTGTTAGAAATCCCACAATGCACCTGTAAATTTACGGGTCAAATAAACTGCCACAAGATCCCAGAACTGCTGTTTGCAGATGTTACTGCATTTGTGAAATATAGCCTGATTACTGTAAAATAATATATTTTATATATATATTGACATCACATCCTTGATACCACTTTACAGCCACAAGACCTTGTCAAAGCAACACTAACAAAACTATATAGAGGAATACCCATATTCCCAGGCACACACACTCTCACACACCTTTTGACTAGGTTGTTTCTGTACACGTTAGCCTTTTTTTTTTTGTTTGTTTTTACAAAAACAAAATATGCAAGAAGGATGGAATGACGGCTGAATGAGCAGAATGCCAGAAAAATCTATTCAAATTCTGTTGAATTTGCCAGGGATGTACTTAAAACTGTAAAATCTGCCAATAGACTACAATTGCAATATCACAACTATTTTACAACATACTGACTTAAATGACACATCACCAACAAAAGGAGTTGGTATCTACAGCAGGAAAATATTGATCTTTAAAGATGAGTAAGAGGCAACAGGAAAGAAGTATGTTACCCTATTTTAAGGGGAGAGGGGGTCGGCTTACCTTATTTAAAGTGAAGATCACAACATCGAGTTTTCTGGGATGCAAACATGTTAATCACCCTGTCGTTGAAGTCAAACGACACCAAGTGCTTTAGAGTCTAAAGCAATGCGGTGTCCTTCATCCAGGTGGCAGGCGATGTTAACTTTACCCCATTTCCAATGTGACTTCTGCTTCATTCGTGTTTTCTAATTTTGTCAGATAAATGCTTCAAATCCACAATTCCTTGTTGAATTCAAGCTGTGTCTCCTCCAAAAAGCAGGCATGGGACACAGTAAAGTGAATTCCTGCTTGCCGTTAGCTAGTCCTTTCGTTGAAACCACATAACACAAACTTTACGATTCTGTCGTTTGTGTTATTTGAACATCGTTTGGATGATGTGGTCCCAGTCTCTTAACCTTTTCGTCCAAAGATATAGAAGAAAATATTCAACTAAGTAAATAATTCACTTCGGTTATGCTAATGCTCGTCGCTGCCGCCATGTTGATTTCGCCTCCCTTCTCTCGTTCGCCAAAATTCCCGCCTCTGGGCTGAACAGCAAATAAAGGGGGCGTGGCCTGACGCCTGTCACTCACTACTCCATGAAGCTGAATGGTAGCTGATGCTGCGGTGCATAGGCTGTGAGAATAAGCCAATGTAGCTAAATCCTGTGGGGGGTTTTTTTTCTTTTGACTATTTGGTGTTGTTGCTGCACTTCGTTACAGTAATCTGTTGAAATTTATATAAATATATTTATTTTTTTATTGAAAAAGACAGGAGGGCTTAGCCATGAGCAGGATTCGAACCCGGCCCTCCTGGTCTCAAGGAGGCTACTCATCTCACTGAGCCAAACTCATTCTCACACCACATAAGCACTTAAACTAAACCAATTGCTTTTTTTCTAACAACATTCACAGAGCAACTTGGGGGTGAACGGTGGCCTTGTCCCTTCCACACAGAGATTTCTTCCAATTTTCTGAATATTTTGATGTTATTGTAACATAAATGATTAAATAAAATTTTTCTCATAGTGATAAAATATTATTCTGAATTCGTTCCAATACTTTTAGAGGCTATTTCTTTGATGCTCTTTTTATACTCAGTCTTGTTTCTAAACCTAATTAGACTTGAGCTCTTATTTCTCACAAAATATTGAATTTCTAATTTTAAACATATGTTTCCTATGTTCTCTTGTGAATAAAAAAAAATGGCTTTATTATAGTCACAGTTGCATTCTGTATTTATTTATAAGTTACGCAGCTTCACAACTGTTTTGGACCTGAGGTTGTGCCCTGCCAACAACACACGAGACCACTTTGAACACCTTAAACTGACACAGATTTTTTTCTGTTAATAATTAGAGTTTTATTTATTTATTTTTCGCAGCCATTACTGAAAATTGCTTTCCAGGGGAAGAATATTTTTTCTTTACATCTTCAAATCATCATCTTGTTATAAGAGGCCTCATTAGCCTAATGATGGAAACAAAGAGCAAAGGCATGATACTTTCAAGGATATTGAAAACCTCTTCAAAGCTGTCTTCTAAACCTTGCCCTACAGAACAAATGTGCCCACGTGGGACAATAAAGTCAGGTCCATTAAATTGAATACCAGAGAGTGCTGTTATGACGTACAGCTGCTAACCTGTTTTAATGCAAATGTGCAGATTGAGATTTGAGCGTCTTTTTGATTGAGTTTGTAATTGCTTGTTCCACCTCATTGGCTTTACCTGATTTAATAATTCATTATAACAATATGCCTCATAAACATTAGAAGGGGAAGTTGGTAGTTGATCGTCAGATGTGGCTTTTCTCAAGTGTTCACTTACTCATTCTCTGTTTGAGATGCGCACATGGTACCTCAGGGGCTTTCCTCACTCGATGATGACCCCACTGACGACCATGTTGTCTGAACTGAACCGCTATGAACATCTGCGCCAGCTGCCGCATCTCTTTCATGTAAGGTATCTTGAATGTAATGCTTCTGTACTAACGCCAAGGAAATCTGCTTTCAGGCCAACTAGTAGTAGTAGTGGCCATCTTCTGTCCCACTTATGCCCCACTGGATTCACGGACACTTGGTTTGTGGTTTTGCTGTTAGTCCACTAATAATATGGTGCCAACAGCTTTTCTTAAAGCTGCACTAATAATGACTGTTTTTACATGAGAAGTTATAAAGTCTCTTACTGCATCGCTAAAGGGGATGATAATTGTCCTCCTTTAGCCGGTCCCTTTAAGGGCCACCACAACAGATCATCTGCCTCCATCTCACCCTATTCCTAGCATCCTCTTCTGTCACACCACCACCTCTACATGTCCTCCTTCCCTACATCCATGAATCTCCTTTCTAGTCTTCCTCTTTTCCTCCTGTCTGCCAGCTCTATATTCAGCATCAATATATCCACTGTCCCTCCTCTGCACATGTCCAAACCATCTCAGCCTTTCTTCTCTAACATTGTCTCCTAGTCGTTCACCCTGAGGTGTCCTTCTTATGTACCCACTTCTGATCCTGTTCATTTTGGGCACTCCCAACAAAAATCTGACCATCTTCACCTCCTGTCTTTTGCTCAGCACCGCCACCTCCAAACCATCCATCATAGCATAGCTCAATAACATATTGCAAGCCTTCCCTTTCACTCTTGCTTGTATCCTGTCACAAATCACCCTTGACACTCTTCTTCACCTTTCTTGTGCAATGTTTGTTGCTTTCATATTGTGGATAACTTTAGGGCTTAAAATCCTCCTGAAAACTGAAGAAAATACTTTTTTTGCGATGTCCTGCCACTTTAAACAGGTCATCCCCTTTCTATAATTTTAATGGGATTCACAGGGACTGAAAATCTTTTGTAGCTTTAAGTGGCCACTCCAAAATTTGCTATTTTTGACACCTCGGTGCTAAGTACATTTTCAGTCTGAGGTTGCTGCTTGCTAAAGAAATTTCAGTGTTGTGTTTATGGGCTCATTTGATGCCTCCAAGTCAACAAAAAGGAACAAACCTACAGAGAATTATCACCCATCTCTCAGACATCTCCCAGACGGGGGATAATTCACAGTCAAAGTTAACAACAGTGAGTAAGCGGCAGCCACACATTTACAGATATTTTCTGCAGGAATGAGTAGAGACCAAAGTAGCTGACGAAAGCACATTTTAACCACTGATATTAGCATTTCTGCTGCTCAGTGGACGTTATGAAACAGCAGATGGACGTAGAGAATCTAGATCCTGCTAAGGTCAGTCCAGTGCAACTCTTTATGTGAAAACACTCAGTACTGGCAGAAAATGTTTCAAACCAGTCAATTCTTTCAGGAAATTACACACCTTCAAGACCAGAAGGCATGTCACGCCACTGACCGCTTTCTGTGGCACATGTCAGACTTATCTCTGGCAGCGAGAGATAAGGTCTGCAGGTTCATCCAGACAACCCACAGATGGCATTGACACAGCTTCATCATCTCAGGAACGCACACACACACACACATGGGTTTGCATTGTTGTCTACAAAAGGCAATTTCAGCAGAGGTAGCCAGGGTGCTAAAGGGTGCACAACTCTTTGCTGGCAAATGTCATACGGGCAAGTTTATTCTGCTCATTCGTGTGAATCATTAATGAAATGAAGGTCTGTGGAGGGTAGGGGTGCACATCTTTACACTTTAGCTGCAGTTATAACCTTCCTCCCAAATCCTCTCTTTTTGCTGATTTCATCTAGACTGGTTGGTTTAGTTAAACATCTCTCAAGGCACAACATGAACTTTAGATATGTCTGCTATCACAGCTTGTTCCGTGACCCACGATTATTCAGATTTATGTAAAAGAGAACGTGAGATGTTTTATCCAAGGAGTATTTGCATTAAAAGCCTTATGGGCTAATCACCACTTCTTAAATAGTGGATATGAGCGATTAAGAGGGGAGATTCTTATACTCGATACTATCTCTGCAACTTTATTTAGTATTTTCGTCCGAGGAGTTCTGACAAATGTCCTTAGGAATCATTATCAAATATAGAGCTCTGCTGAGAACTCAAATGGTAATAGGTACTCCACGTGTAAGCAAAGGCCTTTAAAAACAAACAGTTTTGAGTAAATTAGATTATGAACCCAAGACACACAGGCAAGAGACTGCTAAGTCTTAATTCCTTTAGACCTTAGTGCACCCGTTCAGATTTGAGCATGAAATTTTAATGGACTCACTTAAGCACCAAGGTGGGTATCTGGCTCGCTGCAGTGCTGTCTCAGAGCCCATCTTTCTAATAGGCCGCTGATAATTTATCCTCTGGAGTCACACGCTTCCTAAATTGTCCCAGAGAGCTCCGTCTCACGTTGTGTTGTTTTGTCCCGGTACAAACTCCCACATGGCAATAAAACTGATTAATTTTATATATCTCTATATCTATCTATCTATCTATAGATATATATCTCTATATCTATATCTATATATATAGATATCTCTCTCTCTCTATATATATATATATATAGATATAGATATAGATATCTATATATCTCTATAAATATAGAGATATATAGATATATCTATATATATCTATATCTATATATAGATATATATATGTATATAGTAGGGCTGGGCGATATATCGAGTTTTAAAAAAATATCGATAT